GTGCACCTCCCTCCCCGCCCCCCCAAATCATCGGTGAACGAAACTGCGGCAGCTACAACCAGTGTACGACCAGTACGTGGTTCTTACAGCTGACAATGATGATGATGATGATTCTTAGCCTATGTAGGTTATGTTCATTGGACTTTGATGGTCAAGTTCCTGAATACGCCTGTGATCCCCTTACACACAAATGCTAGATCTCACGACCACACTACTCGGTTATAGACAAAATATGTGTGACGCTACAAATGGTGCAGATCGATAATAAATGCTACCTTTTGGTTCTCTCTGGTGACTTATCTGTCAGACTGTTACATTATCATCATTCTTAACCTCAGTGTCAAAAGTAAACGTTGTGACAGAGAAGACCAGTTTGATTCAGTAAGGTTTTCTACGAGAAATGAAGACCAATACTTACGTGGGAACTAAATTACCAGAAGAAAAAAGAACAGCCCGGGAACTGAAAGTAAACCTAAACTGATGAGAATTCATAACTCGTTTGACGTTTCCCGATCGCTGTGAGGTTCGCTCAAATCGGCTCCATAATTTGACTGTAAATGTTGCATAATCTGATTCATCATGGCCGGACTCATCACTATGTCCTCATCGTTTGCCCCGAGTTCTGTGTGAATTGTTGGGTTTGAGTCCAGAACGACAAAAAATATTTGAAATGTACTTTCTTCCTGTATTTCCTCCGAGTTGGGAGAATAGATGGCAACGTCCTCAGTAGGAACGACTCCGATGGACAATGTCTCGGGTTGTTCGTAACCGGGGTCCTGAGTCTGTACAGTGTTCTCTTCTGAATGTGTGCCCGGCAAGTCCTGATTTATTTGAAGTACCGTCCGATTCGCATGATGTAACATCGTGTCCGCGGATTCTATCGGACCAGATGCAGTTGCTATGACAACGGCATTCCTATCTCCATCAGCCTCACTCTCAACCTCATTCCATGAAGCAAGTAGTGGCGTGGGGGCATGGTTGTCAACCTGTGGTTCCACCTCTTGTTCCTCGCTCGTGCTGGTCCAAGCGATTTGTGCAGGTCGATCGACGGAGCGAACAGGAATCGCATTAATCGCCTCAACAGTGTCAATTGTCACGTGTATAATTGGGCCGATCGGGCGTGTTGGAACTGTTCGACGCCACCAAGGTCGTGGAGGCCCAAGCTGTGTCGTATTCCCTACTGTCAGATTGCGCTCACCCCCAGGATTAAGCGGAGTCAAAGGAGGTGGATCTGGCGGAGGCCATTCAGGCAGTCGGTTTGGACGACCAAAGTTCGCTCGGAAACCAAGTGCGTGTAAAGCAAATGGGTGCGGTTGTCGGCGGATCGGTGCCGCCGAATTTGAGCGATCTCCCACACGAGTAAGGGATTTGGCCTTCCGTCTTGCAATACCTCCGGGATCGGTCCCCTCTTCATCCAATAAGCATGGTTCCGGTAAACTAATTGATCGGCGTGGTTTTTTACATGGTTCTGATCTTATCCCCATGGCATGTTTTAGAGATCCCCGTATTAACTAGAACCACTTGATCATCATCTTGTTCCATTGTAATTATTCTTTGTCAAATGTACTCTTGGTCGTCGGCCGTCTAGCTTATCTCAAGGCGGTTGCACCGACCGGCGGCATGTCTAAAGCGGGTGTGAATGCCTGGAAAATTTAAAGTGATCATCGATCGGTAGCCGCTTAGATCACGTGACGGCCTTTAAAATGAGCATCTTACCTATTTGTGTAACCATCAGTTGAAAATGCAAATTAGTGGATAAATGTATTTCCTCAACCGATTTCTTAATTTTTTCATAGTACTTTACTCTGTTTATAGGAGACGTTCACTTAAGGGATAATACCCAGAAAGAAAAAGTTTTTGTGATCAGTAATTCCCCACGTCATCCACTCTTCACAAGGAACGTCCGACTGAAAAATTTATTTCTTGGAACGATTTTAGCGACTTATCTGTTTTTGTGGCGTCCCGCCGCAGTTTGAAACACGGGTGAAAACAAAACGCCGACCGTAGAAATGAATGACAGTTCACCGGGCGTTTCATTTCATCTTCGAACAAAAGTAACCGGTCTGTGGTGGGCTAAGTCCCGGATTGTGATCGTCTTTGTGTTGTTGAATGCTACTCACATCATATCGTCGATACATGCTGCCGGTTGGTTTGCATTCCACCAAAAAATAACGCTGTGCGTCCTTTCGAGACTCGGATTTTGGTCTAACAGTTGTGATTCACCAGTTGGGTCGTTCAGATTGCGCATAACTTCCTCTAAGACTTCAGTGTATCTCTTTAGAATCCGAATGGGAAGTGCCATTTGTCAATGTGACTAGTAGCTTCCCTGTATAGATGTACATACACACCCATCTTGGCATGATCAGCCATGGTTGAAGTGTGACAAATACTCTTCGACAGCCCACGACCGGTTTCGCCCTTGTTGGGACTCATCGGGTAGGCGCAGTTCTCGAGTTTCCGTTCAAGTAGAACAAGGTTGACGGAAACTCGGGGACTGCACTTTCCTGATGAGCCCGAAAAGGAAGGGCGAAACCGATCGTGGGCTGTTGAAGCGTTTTCAGCAACCTTCTGAGTAGTTTCCTTTGTGAAAATGTACTGCGATTTCTGGAATATCGTGCCAACTGAAACATGAGGCAGCCCGTGTGCAGCACATTCAGTTGAAAAATATCATAAAACGAGAGATTCTGTTAAGTCTTTCGTGAAAACCGAATTGATTTGCAAATGAGTCAGTCTATTTATCGAAAATGTGACAAACAGTTCAAAACTGAGACGATATTTCGCCTGTCACTCTGATTCCATAGGTACCAGTTAGATCCTGTGCACTCGGTGGCCACGCACGAAGCCGCGGGACCGTGATAAGTAAAGTTACTGGACAGCAGTATAAGTATAGACAAATCTCCTTGACTGAATTGGGTTTTTGAATAAGGTTTATGGCTCCACCAGTACAAACGGCACATTGGCACGGTGCGCTTCTAGAAATTGTTTCACGGCGCTTCGTTGAATTGTGTAGACATGGGCTCTCTGTGACAATGCACCTAAGTAGAGTGAGCCAGCTTACTGGAGTGTTGTCTAATGCTTGCGGAACTTCAAGAAGGGACTGCCGTTTGTATGCTCAACTGCTCTTGAATGTCCCTCTAATAATTGCGTCAGTTGCTTCTCCCGTCAGTGCAGTTAGAGGGCAAATGAACTCGACCTACTGGACAGTGATGAAGCACATCCCATTCTAAAGCTGGACTAATGTGTTTCATCCATCTGATTGTTTCGAGGCTTACTGTTGGAAGGGATTGGACCTTACCGTGGTGTAACCATTTGTTTGCTTCTGCGACTCATCGAGTTATACTGGGTGGGTCGTAGGACGATCGCAGTCTCTCATGACAGATTGGTCAGTGGTTAGAGGTCTGACCGACACAGTCTCCTGGTCCTCCAGCCCACGTGTCTCTCAAATGATTACCACGAAGTTCAATACACTATTTGGTTATAAAAGAAGGCCAGTACACCGCTGACGTGTCCCGGTGGCGCAATGGATAGCGCGTCGGACTTCTAATCCGGAGGTTGTGGGTTCGAGTCCCATCCGGGACGCCAGTTTTCGAGCCGGAAAAATGAAGTACATCACAAGGGATGAAACTACAATCCGTGAGTCACGAAATGGTCAGCGTCCATATTCTCTCCAACGCCGAACGCATCTTAGGACAACTCGTACTCGGGCACTCTCACTGGAAAGAGACGTGTGGTCACAGTAGTTAGGCGAACGCTATCTGGCAGACATGATGAAACCTGGTTGTTCTTCTCATTTGGGGAACTGGACAAGCTGTTGGTAGACTTACCTTGGCGAGTTGGGATCTCTGCCATCCATTCAGACTTTGACTTCGACGCTGTGCTGTAGGGTTCAGTGGTAAGGAAGTGACGCACTGGAACTACAGTCCACGGAACTGTTCCAAACCAAACATGTATTGTGAGGCATCCACTAGAGGAATGTTTGGAGTCTCCTATTTATTGCCGCACGCGGAAACTCCAAGATGGCTTCAAATCTGACTGTACTGACACAGGGGAATAAACACACGAAATACACTCATTTTCAGACCACATTGATTGTAACAGGGCCAGCAAATGAGATTTTTTAAACAAATAGGCGGCACAAAGACCAGCTCATGTCTCATTGGGCGGCACTGTATTTGAGATGTTGCGTCATGTTTTCTTGACTTACCACATCACTTACAGGGTTGCTGAAATTTCGGCGGTCTACTGTCGGTCTCGTGCTTTTTGGAGCGAGTCAAGTTGGCGTGGTCCCCGGCGTTTTGTCAACCTTATGTTTCATTTGGAAAACCAAAGTGCGTGCAGCTGACGGACTGCACTCATTTACAAATTCCCTTTGTGTTCAGGAAAGACCGGAAGGGATCACTTATTTGCGATTTTGGGCTGCCAAGGGGTTTTCAGCAATCTTGTCCTCCATCAAATAAACGAGTGCTTCAAAACGCCCATATCACCTACGGAAATTTAGGTCGAAATGCAGACTGTTGTCCACACAATCGATCATGACTTCATCGAACGCTGTGGACAACTTCTGTTAAGTACGCATCAGAACAATTGTGCCTGGAGGCAAAAACGGTACTGTTTCATTTCGTTTCGAATTTCTTACGGACAACTAAAAAACTGAGAAATGTAAGCGTTTGTATTTCGTGCATAGGACACGATATTTATATTACTACATTCGGCCAAGTTGCTTTCGTTCAGTGTATAAACTGAAACCAAGACATTTCTGCTCCACTCTGCGTTGGGATGGTGTTTACGGGCCTCACGGCATTTCCGCAGGATGAAAGCCAAATATTATACTGCCTACTCATGAGTAGTCAGATTAATTTAAAAATAGCCGTTCGTCTACCCAAAAGCCGCCTCAATCCCAGGTATCTCAGACAGACTCAACGAGGGTAAATTGACGGAGAAGAGTTCAGGCGAAGGAGTTGAGCAGAGGGAGATGGGATACAAGGGTTTGTGAAGGAAGTCTTCCGGTCGGTTGCGCCTGCACCACTATGTTCAGACTGGCACCTGGTTGGTTGACATCAGCTGGCCCATTCCTTTCAGCACATGACAAGATAAATTCGTTGAGAAAGGTCTTATGTTCGTTATAGATAAGCGATTATTGGTTCCATCGCTCATATTTTTCTGCCATATCTAAACATTCACCTCCGTACGACTCGAAATTCTGTGAAGAAAAATGACGGTTAAGGCGCCTTTGTTGTCTTTCTCGATTTCCGTAGGCCGTTTGCTTTCGATAGAACATTTACCCTTCCTTGTAAATTCTTTAAAATTTGATTTGAGCTTATCAACAATCTACCTACTCTTCGGTTTCCATTTGTTTTTCAATGCTCCATGGTTTCTTTCAGTTAGTGTAACCTGGTAAGAATTTAAACTCGGTGCAGTTTAACCGAAATTTCACAACTTACAATCGTTTCATTTAAACGAACGGGTCGCAGATGGTCCTGTTTGTTCACTTATTTAACTTTTGCCAAGAATAAATTTTGCCGTTGCGCTTCAATTTTTCGCATCTTCACACTCCGTTTAGCCCTGTCAAAGTCACACGAGTAATCTCCTGGGAATGCTCATCAGCGCATACAAAGGTCACGACACGGAGCGTGGATAATCTTATCCCATGGGGTTACGGGCAAGAATGAGTTGAACAATGGAGGGAAGCTTAGGCAATCTGTATCTTTTGATGATTGTGTGATTTATTGCAAACTGTAAAACTGATGACTAACTAACAGTGAGGTGTTTTGACGGGTTCAGCTATTCGATTAATCCATGCACCGTCTTCATTCTCGGTCCAGTGCTTCTACCGAATTGCCACAACACTTGAACTAAAACTAACAGTGAGGTGTTTTGACGGGTTCAGCGATTCGATTAATCCGAGCGCCGTCTTCATTTTCGGTCCAGCGCTTCTGCCGAATTGCCACAACACCTGAACTAAACTGCTTCGGACCTCGACCCGACCATTCCACCCAATACCTGTGAGTTTTAAGGAGCACCGAAAAGGGTTGTCTCTCACACAATAAGGGCCGTATTAAGTGAGAAATTACCTGTAGGCTTCAGGAAATCATTGAAGTCTACTTGTTTCTCTTCCCTAGAATATCTCCCTAATGGGTACCCATTCATTTCTGGGCAATAATTCATGTGGCGCTAGAATTCACCCACTAAACCGCCTCACTGCATCCTGAAATTTCGGAAGGTTGTGGTGCGTGAGTGACAATACATCTTGTCGAGTTGGTCACACTGCTGGTCGGTCGCTTCTGGCCGAAGGTCCAAACCACTAACCGGGAGGTCGATAGTTCGAAATCCCTTGGAGATGCGAACTGCTAATGATTCCCATTAAGGATGAAACCGCTGTTCAGTTCTTCCTAGCACAGGTTCACTTCGCTTACAGGATGGTACCCTTTTGCAATGTTTTTGGCGGGAACCATCACCAACGTGAATCCTACGAAGGTTATTTCGAACCCGTCGCCTTCCAGGTAAAAGCTGGAATATCACTATCCAGCGACGGGTGAATGATCAGCCCTCAGTTTCCTGATTCACCTCAGGTGATCTGGTGTCGGCGTTCCCCTCGAATGACGTCTCACGGGAAGACATGGAAGCGTGTCGGTTGCTTTCCCTTCTCTGTAGATTGCTCGTGACTTGTAGTTGCTCAATTGCAAACTAGCAACTTCAATTTATTTCCACGGCTTGTAGCCGGTTGGATCTCTTGCCTAAATGGGGTAGTTGTGTCTGAAATATCAAAGTGATTCGGTCGCATTCGACGGGTGTCCGCAATACGGAGATGGCAAAAATTGGAAACTATCAACGATGTGGAGTGCCATACCCGCCATGCAAGACTGAATCGCATTACAAGACTTCAAGCGTCAGATGTATTCGTGATCGTGAGCATACTTCACTTCCGATTCTTTGAAGAACTCCTACACTCCTACAGGAGATTCTTCTTTCAGAACAACTCCATGAGCAAGGTCGAAATGCGAATGGATCACGCGTTCTGCGATGATATTCCTCAGCTTCACTTTAAGCGCCTTGAAAACGCTCTCCCTCGTCTACTGTCCGAATACGTTTCTCAAATTTACATCGCAGTTAAACCAGTCAAATGTGTATAATCGTTGGTTCATCTGGTAAGCGATTCTGATTCAGCACACTGTGGAATTGCTGTAATCGCACTTACACTGCGCAGATCTTTTACTGTACTTTTGAGGAGAGCGTGTAATAACGCCGCTGGCATAAAGTTTCGGGTGGGATAACCGATGTGTCCGCTTATTTTGAAACATTGTGTTTCTCCCCGACGATTCTGCCTGCACTGCCTTGTTTCTTCGTCAAAACTCTATCGGGAGGGACCTCTGTTTTACAAATTGGTTCATCTGAATTTTCCTCAACTCCCAACTAACTAATTCCTGTTGCACAATACGAAGTATTCCCAACGAGGAGACAGCACCAGAATCACGCGCTACTGGATTTTTTATCGTATCCATGCCACCACGTCTCACGTGGTACTACCTAGGATTTTGCCGCAAGCTTCCACCCAACCAGAAAGAAAGAGTGACGAAGATGTCACGTACCGAACGTGAGTATGGAAAGCAAAACAGAATTCTCAGTCAGAGGTAGTTATCAAACAAAGCTTGGTCAGAGTGTCCCGTTGAACGTGCTCGTCCAGACGTTTCCAGAATTTTTCTGAAGGGAGCTGAAATGAGGAATCAAGTGCCCTTTGGTGGACGTCTCTGTTTTACCCCAACACTGGAAACACTTTTAAACTTGCTATTTATTCGACTTTACCCACCGTTATTGTGATAAACGCGTATAACCCCACAGTTTCGTCGCAGCATGTATATATCTAAAGAAAAGTCGTTCAACTGTAGCACCCTTTCGGTGCCTAATTGCCACGCCACCCGAAGGAAGCACGCGAGAGCGGGGATACTGCCAGGTTGCCCAAGTCTAAACAGGGAAGTCGACAGGCAGAGGCCGGGTTCGAACCACGGACATATTGTACAATAGTACGCGCAAAAAATGTAAAATACTAGGTTGTCATCATCATCGACAGCATGACATCAGTGTCCAACATTGATGCTTCACTGCGATACAACCATGATTTACTTGAAAGCCTTATTGTAAAGAAAAGAGTAAAAGTGGTTGGGGAGGGACTTAGTGCTAGCTTACCACAATCATTTCAAGGTGCCTACACCTCCAGACATTCACTCAGGCAATCTGGATAGAAACTGACAACAAGAACGCCACTGACATCGGTTGGCAGCCATATCTTGTAGTGTCTCCAACCAGGCACAGTGAGGATCACGCGGTCCCCATCCTGGAAGGCGAGTAGCACCGACAGCACCCAAGCGTTTCGTGATCTCCTTCATACTCCTCTGCCAGGTCATGGGTTGGCCACCTCTCTGTTTACGCCACTCCGAATTGGGCATGGAAAACAGTACTCTCTTCGGCAAACGATGGTTCGGCATGCGTAAAACATGTCCCAACCAACGCAGCTTCTGGTGCTGGACACATTCTTCAATGGAAGTACCCGTTACACAACCGAAAACACGCTTTCTAACTGCCTCGTTACGGATTCGCTGACACCAACCCACACGAGCTATGGTTCTGAGACAACGATTGTCGAACACCTGAAGACGTCTCAGTTCCGCTGCTCGAATAGGCCAAGTCTCACATCCATACAGCAAAACAGCCCATACTGTAGCTTGATACACAAGTACTAAGTTGTAACGTCGTGCCATCTGTTTTGGTGACTAAAATGACTTTAAATCTTACACAAAATCTGATTGGCAACTGTGCGTTTATGTATTGATCAATCGACCATGTTGACTTATGTGTTCC